CCCCCGCCCCTTCTTTCATTGGACCACTTTTGGTAGGTCTTGAACACTGCAGACCAGGAATATCCCACAAGAGCTGTAGTTTTGGAGTTGCTCTGACCCACTCGTCTAGTCATCACAATTTGGCCCTTGTCAAAGTCACTCAAATCTTTACGCATGCCCATTTTTCTGCTTCCAACACATAGACTTCAGGAACAAAATGTTAATTTGCTGCCTAACATACCCCACCCACTTCCAGGTGCCATTGTAAGGTCAGCTATATTAATAAAATAATTTTATTAGATATCAGAATTATATTATATGAAAACCCTAAAGTGTATGTATAGCGCAAACTTTGTTTTAGCTTTGGGTAGAGTAGAGAAGGGTTAAAATCTGTCAGGTAATTTTTTTTTTGCTGTCTGTGTCCTGTTAGGGAGTTTTGTCTTCACAGAGAAGCAACAAGAAGTGAAAGTAATACAATGCAACATGAGATGAATTCCCCTCTTAGACAGTTGGAACAATTGTCTTCAATGCATAATTAACCCTGACTTCCTGTTCAGGTGCCAACTGTAAAATATGGGAATTCCTTTCACTTTCTGTCTCTGACAGTAGTGATCAAGACAAAAAGAAAAAGGTGAATCTTCCTGACAGGGACAAAGACAGCAATAAAAACATCGTAGCCATCATAATCATTCTCTACTATATCTAAAACTAAAAAATGTTTTGTCTGTACGTACACTTTCATGAAAGTAGCTTATTATGGCTGCAGTGGTCCTTATGACACAAAATTCTTCCAGCAGGACATCCATACCTCTGTCATCTCAGGTGATTTGATCTCTTTCATTTTGAAGAAGTATCCAAGAGTCAGGAAAGCTATGGCCATGCCACTGACACTGACCATAAACACCACCAGAGGGGGCCGGCTGCTGATGTAGGACTTCAGGTTCTCCAGGGGATGTAGATTCAGCAACATCGTGGTATGAGTGCCCTGGAAATAAGAGTTAAAGTAGAGCTATAAGCAAGAAGGTAAATACATCTTTGCTATACATATCTGTAAACAGCGTTGTAATTCTGTTCACATTTGAGCACTGCAGTTAATGCAATTCAGCTTGCCCAAGGCACTGCCCTAGTTTGTAAATGGACAGTAAAGGAGCAGCAGTTCACTGAAGAGGTCTTCCCTGTGCATTCTCCACTTTTTTATAGCAAGCTCTCTTTTTTTAGAATGACAACACTGCAATTCATGAGAGCAGGACTTGATTAAACGTTCCGCCCTTCTTCCCTACTATGCAGGGAAGCCGCACTGAAAATGGCAATGCCTGCACCAACTTCATGAACCTGTTTCTAAGTACATGAATCTGGGACAAGCACTGAAATCTGTCGTGTGCATGCAGTGTGAATTTCATGTCACCCACTGAAGACATTGGCATTGGATAAATGTAATTTTTTTTTATTAGGGCTGCACCGGCATCCATTCTTTCTCTCCTCACCACTGGGTGCTACTCTGTGTCCCAGCGGGGAGGAAAGAAACTGTTGAAGGCGGCCGAGCGCTGCGGGAGAAAAGTGATGTGAGCTGCCGGCGTCTCTCCTCCCCACAACGCTCAGCCTCCTGTCACAGATCAGAGGAGAGCAGCTCCGCTCACTCTGCCTCCTGTGACAGTGTGTCAGGAAGGAGAGCGAGGTACAAACACTCAGTGATCAGTGAGTGTTTGTAAATAATTGAGGACATAGTATGGTTACTATATCCTCAACTATGAATGAATGGGAAGTAAAAAAATAAAAAATGAATATAAAAAATTTAAAAAGTTTATAAAACATAATTTTTTTTGACAAAGTTAAAATAAAAAACATTTTTGGTCTGACTTTTTTTATTTCGGTTTCGTTTCAAAATTTTTATTTCGGTGCACCTCTAGTTTTTATCTAACTATACACTGCAACTACAGTCCTCTGGAAGAGGAGCATCTTCTCCTTGAAACGCATAGACTGTGACAGCAGGAAAGTGCAACTTTGCAAATTTGTATGCATGGACTTTACCCATAGACGTGTGTAGTGTGTAAACTGGATCTGTGAGAAATCCCCCACTGGATTACAAAGTTACCTGTGAGGATCAAAAGGACTGTCTTTCCGGCTAAGACAACCACAGCCAAGCTGCAAGCAATATAAAGATTCTATCACTTAAGGTGCCCATACACTGTACGATTCTCGTACGAGAATCGCGAGAAATCCTGCGATCGTACAGTGTATGGAAGGCGTGTGCAACCGTTTCTACTGTATGTTTGCACGACTTCCGGCGAACAAGCAGGCTTGAAAACCCACTGAGAATCGTACGATTCAAGTCTTGCGATGGTCGTAAGGTGTATGGGCATCCGTGATTACTTTCCTCCCCGCTGGGACACAGAGCAGAGCCCAGCGGGGAGGAAAGTAATCACGGATGCGCCGAGGTGAGAGAAAGTGACAGCCGGCCGAGCGCTGCGAGAGGAGAGCGATGTGAGCGGCCGGCGTCTCTCCTCCCACACCGCTCAGCCACCTATCACAGTCCGCCAGAGCGGTGTGGGAGCGGAGACAGGCCGTGCTGTCACAGGAGGTGGAGCTCTCCTCCCTGCTCTGCTCGCTCAGCCTCCTGTAACTGCGTGTCAGAGAGAAGAGCGGGTACAAGCAGTCAGTGATCGCTGAGTGTTTGTAGATAATTGAGGACATCGTATGTTTACTATATCCTCAATTATGAATGAATGGGAAGTGATCTACATCACATCCTGTTCCTTCATAGTTGTAGTTATAGTAAACATACCATGTCCTCATATTATCAATGAACAGGAACACTCAGAGGATTCCTGTTCATTGATAACAGGGGATAAAGAAAAAGAGATTGAGGACTCAATCTGTGTTCTCAATCTCTTTTTCTATTTTAAAAAGGGAAATATCAGGGGTCTGCCCCTGTACAACAACCATATATTGCAGTTCCCTGGGTGATGTGTGTACGTGGGGGGGGGTTTGTACAGGGACAATGGTGGCATGTTTGGATTAGTAGTTACCTAGCGGGTGTGGTGGTACAGTTTAATGGGTCCGGACTTACTTTCAGATCGATTGTCGGCGGGCCAGCGGCGAGTGAGGGAGCTCACAGCAAGAAGAGCAGCGGCATCAGCGTCCTGTGCGGTGGGCGTGGCTTCAGCGGCGTGTCATTTTCAGCTGGCGCTCCAGCGCCGACTCCTCATCCTCCTCTTCTCTCATGTCCCACGGTGTCTGCATGCGGGTGCACACTGCTCCATAGACTTACCTTGTGTCTCTCCTCGTCTCCCGGTCGAACATCTGAAGTGCGCATGCGCCCGCCCCAAGATCCTTTGCGTTCTCCCGAGACTCTTCAGGTGTTTGGATGGGAGCACGCGGCGAAGACACAGGTAAGTTTAAACCCTTTTTAAAATGTTTTTTTTTATGTTTGTGCATAGATATACTGCTTGCTAACAGTAGATATATGCAAAAATATGCGAGGGTTTAATAACCCTTTAAAGAGGTACAAAACAATAAAAGACCTGTCATATGAACCAAGAGCAAAAAGTTACCACCAGGTCCGGGGCACTGTCTGCGCCAAAGAGCAGCTCAAAATCAACAACACATTATGATACTTCACATTTGCCAAGTCCTGTGTCAATGGAAGGCAGCCACATGCTTAAAATGTATTGGCCAAAAGGAAGTAATGATAACTTTCCTCTTGCTTATCACAGACAACCTAATGAAGGTGAGGTTGTTATATTTCTCTAATGGACTGTACGTACCTATTTTAACTCATGACAAAAAAACCCCCAATGTATTCTAGTAAAACTGATTCTTTGCCAACACAGCTACATCAAGGCATGGTTCACTTCCCAGCCATTGCCCTTCTAAATAGCCCAATGATGTTGCAGTAATATCAGTGGCTTCAACTAAAGCCGACTCATTTTGCTGGATTTAAAGTTTAGACATGAAAGACTGTGTGAGACGGCAAGATCCTTCTCCTGGAATGGGCTTGTAGCCACCAATATTGTTTACACTCCCTAATAAATATTATACTGATGAAGGAAGAGGCTACAGATACTGTAAAAGTATCTGACACCTATGGAAGCCCAGACAGAGCAAATACCAGTGGTCAGGACTTCTTGGGAGGCCGGCTGCCACTAGATGGGAATTTTCTATGCTCCTCGACTACATCTAGTGGCAACCGGCTCCCAACAAGTCCTGACCACCCGAATCCATCTAGTGGCGGAAATACCGTGCAAACAGCAATATGGCTGGGATGAAGATTTATAAAACGTTCCCAGAATATTCGTTCATCTGCAAGAATTTTGTTTATAGTATGGCTTAATCTTTTTGATTTTGTAAGAATTAGGGGTGAAAAAAATCACAATACAAATTAAACTAAACATGAGATTGCAGGCTACTTTACAACACACACAGGGACCATGGGGAACAAAAGTAGCCACCCTCCAGAAGGAAGGACAGTGTCAGCACCAATTCAGAGATCATTTGAGGATATACAGCCGAGTGATACATTTTTGTTAATAGTTAAGGTACTTGAATGCATTTTTAAGATTAACCCCTTAGTGACACAGCTTCAGAATGTTTTTTGGTTCCTGGGGACCGGAGCATTTTTCCCATAATTACCATCTTGCTCATTCATTGCACCTACACATATTATATACCGGTTTTTAAAGGACAAAATAGACTTTAATTTGATGTGACATTATATATATATATAT